AGGTGAATGATAGGGGTTTAGTTTTACTTTGCTACCTATGGATTTCTAGCTTTTCTAGCACCATTTGTTGAAGAGGCTATCTTTTTTTCCATGTGTATTTTGGGCGCCTTTGCTAGTGTGAGATAACTGTATGTATGTGGGTTTGTCTCTGTGTCTTCTATTCTGTACCACTGGTCTATGCCTTTTTGGGCACCAATACCACACTGTTTTTGTTACTATGTCTCTATAGTATAGTTTAAGGTCTGGTATTATGATGCCCCAATCTGTCAACAAATATATGAAAAAATATGTTTAACATCTCTAGTAATTAGAGAAATGCAAATCAAAACTACTCATTAAGATTTCTTCTTACTCTGGTCAGAATGGCTGTTATTAAGAATACAAGAAATAAGATTTGGCAAGGATGTAGGGGAAAAGGCACACTTATACATTGCTGGTGGGACTGCAAATTGGTAAAGCCAATCTGGAAAGTATATGGAGATTCCTTAAAAAACTTGGAATGGAACCACCTTTTGACCTAGCTATCCCATTCCTTTGTTTAAACCCAAGGGACTTAAAAATGGCATACTACAGTGATGCAGTCACATTAATGTTTATAGAAGCACAATTCACAATAGCTAAAATGTGGAACCAACCTAGATGTCCTTCAGTAGGTGTTTGGATAAAGAAACTGTGGTATATATAGACAATGGAATATGAGAATGGAAAAGAGAATAAAATTGTGGCATTTGCAGGTAAATGGATTGAGGTGGATAATATCATGTTAGGTGAAGTAAGCCATCCCCCAAAAAAACAAAGGCCAAATGTTTTCTCTAAGAAGTAGTTGCTAATCTATAGAGGGTGCATGGATGATTGCAGGAATTTTGGATTGGGCAAAGGAAAGGGAGGTGGGAGGGGAGGGGCTATGGATATAGGAAAGACAGTCGAATGAGACGGACATCATTACCCTAGGTACATGTAGATTGCATAAATGGTGTGTACAATCAGAGAAGTGAAAAATTGTGCTCTATTTGTGTACAATTAATCAAAGAGCATTAAGAATTCAGTGCATTAATGTTGAAACCTATCAGTATGTGAAGTTGTTAATTTTAAGGTAATTCTTAAAACATTTATACAGCAGCCTCCAGTGTTGTGTGTATCCAGAGGTTCTAATTTTTTGAAGCACAATTCAGAAAGGAGTTTTTGATACTGATAGAACATTAATTGTGTTTTGTGTTAAGGAGACTAATGGTCCCACAGACAGTTATGCAGCTATTTCACAAGTGGATCGATTGCAGTCAGAACCTGAAAGTATCCGTAAGTGGAGAGAAGAGCAAATGGAACGCTTGGAAGCCCTTGGTAAGGAATCCATCTGTCTTTGTTAATCTAGACTCTATTTTTATGCATTTTATCTTGAATTAGCCATAGTGTCCTTGTCTGGTGGGGTTTTTGTTGTTTGTTTTTTTGGTTTGTTTTTGGTGTAATTGGGTTTGAACCAAATTCACTTGCTTGATCTTTGGGGAAATCTTTCTCAATCTAAAGATCACAAGGCCACTGACATTGAGATGCTTAGCTCTGTTGTGTGAGGAGTCTGGTAGCCCAGAAAGCTTCCTCTACCAGGAAGGGCACAGTGAAGTTGTGGAAAGAGAGAGCCCTGGACTTGCTATGAAAGGCTGGGTTCAGGGCCCAATCTTACCTTAACCTTCTGTGGGCACCTGGTTAAACTTCAGTCTGTCATCATCCGTGAAAGACGTGTGTAACTGATCTCCAAGGATAGTCTGAGGTGGTATTTATGAAAGTGCTTGGTAAACTTCTTGATGGTATTGTATCCACATGAAAGACATTTACAGTCTGTCATTTGAAGGCTTAGTTTAAGGTAATGCTTACAAAGAGAATGTGAGATATGCAAGAAAACATGCACAATTTGTTTTTCTTAATATCTCTATAAGATAAGTTCGTACAGGTTTATGGATGAAGAAGTAGATAGTATAGGTAAAATAAGTATTTAAAACACATAATTAAGAAGTAATAAAGAAGAATTTCAGCTTGAGTCTTTATTGCTTCAAGGGCCACATCCATGCCTGTGTTGCTTTCTAAGCAAAGTGGGAGTACATAACCATAAGGCTGGGCAGGCCAAACCTAAGATCAGTGCTAACCAATCTGGCCTCTGGTAAAGTGATGTGTATATGGAGAATCAGGTAACCAATCAGATTGGTTCAATATCAGGAAAGATCTCTTGCCTATATCTGGTGCATTGGTGGGGATATAATCCGTGGTTTAAAACACAGAATAGTTGGATAAACAAGGAAAATGAACATGTTTACAACTCCCTTGAATGTTTCCTAGAAATAGGCATTCTCCTATGTAACTACAATGTCATCAATATTATTCCTTAAGAACCAATGATTTTCCAGGCACAGTGGCACATGCCTGTAACCCCAGAACTAGGGAGGCTGATACAGGAGCACTGCAAGTTTGAAGCCAACCTCAGCAACTTTAGTGAAGTCCTAAGTGATTTAGTGAGATACTGTCTCAAAATTTAAAAAATCAAAAGGGCTGGCATTGTGGCTCAGTGGTAAAGTGCCCTGGTTAAATCCCCAATTCCCTGTCCCCTACCCCCATAAAAGAAGAAAACAAATGGAAAAAAAAATGACCCTGTAAAAACATAATTCCTTATTTTTCAGCTGGAGAACCGACATCTGGAAATAGGAACAGACTTGATCCAGATAATATAGCCAGTTATTGCCAAATCTTCTATCTCTGGTCTAATTTATATGGCTTTCAGAACAAAGACACATTTAAGTTTAAGCTTATATATAGCGCACTCATAATAATTCTTTGGAAATATTTGGTATCTGTCTGTCCAGTATGATAGCCACTGACCACATATGACCATTAAGTACTAGAAATGCAGTTAGTGTGCTGGAGATAACTGAATTTTAGAACTTTAAACATATGTAGCTATGTATGACTGGTAGCTACTGTATTGCACAATGCAGCTTTAGGAATACAAAAATAGGTCTTCAGGTTCTAGCAATCTTGATCCTTGCTTCTTGTTTTTTATGTCTTTTGGTTAGACTTGGAAGCAAGTACTGCTGAAGTTATAGAACCCAGCTTTTGTCTTTTATATTTTATATTTTTCTAAAGTTTAGCAATGATTGTCTTCTCCATTGAAAGTATACTATGGTTGTAGAAATTTTCATTTTCTTTTTCAATAATCAAATTGGGTGCCTTGGGAATTCTCCCAAAGAGTTTTCTTTCTTCTTTCTTTTTTTGTACTGGGGATTTAACTCAGGGGTGTTCTACCAATGAGCTATAACTCCACACACCCCCACCTACCTCCCGCCACTCACTTTTTAAATTTTGAGGCAGGGTCTCGCTGCATTGCCAAGACTGGCCTTGAAATTGTGATCCTCCTACCTTTACCTCCAAAGTAGTGGGATTACAGGTATGTGCCACTGCACTTTCCTTGAAGAGTTTTCTTAACTCAAGATGCCATCTTGAGGAACGTTAGACATTTGGCCTTGCCTTTTTATTGAACTGAATTTGTCCACAAATAAAATGTTTCTTCAGTTTCACCTTTTTCCCTGCAAGAACTGTGAGAAAGCACAAGATGCTAAAAATAGAGGGCCAGTATCGGTGGTTTTCAGCTTAGTGCTGGCTGCATTCTCAAATAATTTCTTTCTGTGAACAGTAATAAGAATGGATAGAGAAGAAGGCCCCTCTCAGTGAGCCTTGCTCTCTAAAGGGACTCTTTATACTTTCCTCCTTTCCAGACTCAAAAGAGATTGCATTTAGGCTCAGATCCCATCAAGCTAAGCACTGAGGAATTCTTACTGCCAGTGGCACTTCCTTTTATAAAAAAGCCAGAGGACAATTTAATGCTTTTGCCTAGCATGTGTGAGGCATGTCACCTGCGTCAGTACTTGTGACATGTATTTCTTTATCTCCACTGTTAAAGAGCTGGGGCCTTCCAAGAAACAGGTAACGTGAAGACCCTCTCTTAAAACCCCAGTTCTTGTGATCAAGTTAGAAAGATTTCAGACATGTCATTCAGAGTAATAGGACTGAGTTTATCAACCGGAATGGGAAAGGGAAAAGGGACACACTAAAGGGAGAGTGTGGGTCCTTTTACAGGGGAGAGGGACAATGTGCCTCTCTTGCACGCCAGTTTTATTGGTGACCCAGAGAAGTTTCCAGAGGGTCCCAGCCAGGCCTACCTCTTGACTTTCGACTGACAGCAAGGTGACATCAGACTTCAAGTCCCCACTGTCATGGCATCTCTAGGTCACCTTGGCCCTTGTTGACTGGTTCTAATTGGATTCTTTAACCATACATTCTTACAGATTTTATGGTTAGGAGGAATTATCCTTATCTCCTAGAGTTTCAGGATGGATCTGGTCACAAAATTCTCCTTGGTTCCTCCCACTGACATTATCTTGGGCCTGCATTTCTCCTATAGTTAGCTGATAGTTTGCTGAGGAATGCGACATATCCTGTTTATTTAGGCCAGGCAGGGCTGCAGGTAAATTCTTGGAAAAGAAGGCATTTGGGGGTTAGCACAGTGGGCCCATTTTATAGAATTACTGTCTTAACCTTATGTTCCCACGATCCTCATCTGTCTATTCCATAACACCACTATCGTAAGTCTCTTCAGCTAATTGGCTTAGGGAAAACCATGTTTAGTTCTTTATATTTGAGAATCCAATCTAACCCAAAAGGTGTGTTTTCTCGCTTCATCTCTAGAACTTTTTGGGTTAAACTCTTGATGGTGATCCCACACCCAAACTCTTGCAGTTTTCTCTCTTGGGGTTTCTTTGCTAGCTCTGTCTCGTCTCTTCCATGAGCTTAATCTACAGTCTGAGCTCAGTCTGCATATGCTTCCTCTCCCCATTCTCCCTCAATTTAATTCATTTTGTTTGTGAACAGGTCCAACTAATGACCCATCAACTTTGTCAGTGGACTAGGATAAAATGTAGTGAAAGATAAGGAATAGGATCATGAGCTCAAGAGTTGGTTGTGTGCTCATTTTGGCAGCACATAAACTAAAATTGGAATGATACAGAAAAGAATAATATGGCCCCTTTGCAAGGATGACACACAAATTCATGAAGCATTTTTCAAGTTTAAAGGTGGATTTGGTCATGGTCAGCCACCCCAGGAAAATTGCAGGGGATTATATTGTGTTGAATAAAGAATTGGTTGTACAAAAAGAGAAGATATAATTTTATCCTCCCCTTCCCACTATTCTCCCCACGCTTATACACATGTGCCCACACCCACCATAAATTCAGTAAGACTACAGTAGACTGATGAACTTAAATTTGTGCTTTACCTCATTATATTGTCATTTATATTCCTTCCCTTCAAAGATGCCAATTCTCGGAAGCAAGAAGCAGAGTGGAAAGAAAAAGCAATAAAGGAGCTAGAAGAGTGGTATGCGAGACAGGATGAGCAGCTACAGAAAACAAAAGCAAACAACAGGTGAGTCCATGATGTTCTACTGTAGCTTATTTTCCAAGACTAAATCATATCCATTTTCTAGTATCCAGTCCAGGCTCTTGGCTGCTGCCTCTTTCAGTGTGAAATAGCTTTGAAGAGGTTTTCAAGAAAGTGCTTGAAACAAAGGTTGCAAGTCTCCTGGATCCTGTCAGCATAATTCCACCTGTTCTATAGCCATTCTAACTTTAGTGAGTTCAGATCTTTTAAGAGTTTGGTTTGCATTAGCTGTATTGTATTTCAGGAAAAAGAAAGTAATTTCATGGGTTAAGTTCATGATGTGGAAAAAAATGGAACACTGAAACAAAAGGTCAGTTTCATGAATGTACTAGGATCTCATCTGTACTTAGGACATAATTATAGACTTGGACATGGTGCATTGCCTAAACACAACACTGACTTCTGAAAGATGCATAGTGAAGAGGTCCATCAGCATGTGAACATGCTCTTGTAATTAGGGAGCTAAGGAAGTTTCAACACAGTGACTTCAGATTTAGATTCAGTGGGTATTTATCTGTGCTTTAAGAAAATCTTGAATTCTTCTTAAAAATACTTTTTTAAGATTCCCTTTAATCACTTCCTGAAGTTGAAGTAGTTATGGGGAGAAAATGGGTGTTTATTTCAAGCAAGTGTCATTATCCATGGGTGACTCCTCAGGTCAGCAGCTGTGGTCTTTAATATGCTTTACTTCTTGGAAGTTCTTCCTTCTTGGAAGTAGCTCACAGAGGAATCTGCAGCCTGGCTTCCCTCAGGGTAGGCACATTGGCTTGCTTTCTTCTGCTGAATTCAGAGTCTACCTTTAACTGAGTATTTGTCACTCCTCCCACTTCAGTGTAGAAGCACGCCAGACTGAGCCTGGGATATTTTTAATTTTAAGGGTAGAGCGTTAGGTTCCTAAAGCAGATTGGGTTAAAAGCCTTTATCTCTGGCAGCTGTATTCAGTAGAATCTGCCGGGAAGGGGGGGGGGGCGTGACTAACTGCTTTGCCAGCAGCAAATGCTGTTGTGGGGCAACTGTGACAGAATGGAGGGCCACTTTCTTTCATAGAGCCAGCCCTTCCTTCATTCTTTGAATCCCTTTGGACATCCTTGGTTCTATCAGCTCTCCAGTAGATGCCATAGCTCTTTCCTGGTCACCTTCCTTAGGGGGACACACACTCAGAGTGCTTGTCGGGTTCCATTTGAAATTTTGTGGCAACAATGTCTGTGTGTCTAGTTGCTGCAGGTGATGGCTGCAATCCAGCCTACCCAGGGCTGCTGTTGTGTTTGTGGTCAGCATGAAGTTCTGACATCTCTGGTCTCCTTTACCCTGTGCTTACTCAAGATGATTGCCACCTCCCGCTCCAGGTGCAAGTCCAGATCTGTAAAGAAAGATGAGTGGATGCAGTTATGTTCCCCAGCAAGCTGCCTCAGAACTCAGGTCTGCTCTGAAATACTTGCCAGAATATGCTGCCCTTCCCCGTGCAGGGTCTGTGAACCTTCAGCAACTTGACATACAGATTTTCAAACTTGATGAACATGTTAGAAAGTGGCTTCTTATTGCAGAAATTTCTTTAAGGCAATTTTGCTGGACTCTGAAAAGAAAGGGCTTCCTCTCTATGTATAGAATTAGGTGCTCTTGTAGATAGATAGATAGATAGATAGATAGATAGATAGATAGATAGATAGATAGATAGATAGATATGGGGTGGATCTCTCCAGGCTTGGAGATAGGGCTGTGGTGTCTTTCTTGGAATTGTAGAATGTTATGTTGGCTGTTCTCAGGTTTACCTCTCAAGTTCCAGAGAGGAGAAGGGACTGACCCACCCCACACTGAGCACATGGAACTGTTTAGAAAGCAGGTATTTACCTCAGAAACTGCAGCACAGGCCTGAACCTGCTTATGTAAAACTAGAGACATGCTAGCCACTGTCACCAGGGTCCTAGGACAGAAGGGATGATTTTCATACATCATTCCAGTGTTTGTCAGAGGGTAGAGGTGGCAGCTGTTTAAGATAGGGGACTTCTTCCGATGGCATATAACCGCCCCTGGAGGAGAGTCTAATATTGCTGACTTTCCCCATCCATGTTTGCCTCCACATTTTAGAGTCTAAAGGAATAGGTCTTATTAGTGTATACAAAATGACTCATCTTCTCTTGTCTGTCTGATTGTAAATATTGAATATTTTTAGAAAAGAAAATGGGGTGTTTATTTCAAGCAAGTGTGATTCTCCATGGGTGACTTCTGCAGCACCTGGATGTAAGGGGACCCCAGAAATAAGGCAGAAAAGCAGAATTTGAAAGTGGGGTATGGGAATAGAAAGACATCTAGTTAATTGTGTGTCCTTAGTTCCCCTTCTCTTAAGTTGCCCTTACTACTCAGTTGCCAAGGCATTGGGAGCATATCCAAGCCAAGGCCCTGTGCTAGGGGATGGGGGTCGGGCAAGCAGTAGGCAGGTGGAGTCCTTGCCCTGCACACAGAATCTGTTGTCTTTTAGTCCCTAGACTGCATCTCCCTTTTTATCCCAAGTCAGGGCCTAAATATCACTGTACAAGCACGTGAATAATTCAGTGACAGCCTGACAGAATGGAATTCCCTTTCTGGAGGAGTCAAGTTAAAGCATTGACTGTCTTCTGCAGTTCTCTTATGGAAAAAAACTCAAAAACATGTTCTTTTCCAAGCCAGAAGAGAAACTTTTCCCCCTGCCACAGGTGGCTTTTGTGCTGAGACTTTTCAGCTCTTCTGAGGCTTAAAAAGGTTTGGAGGATCCTGATTCTCCACAGTGCATTCTCAGTGACACATTTTCCATGCCCATTTTGGGGCTGTTTATAGAATGAAGTTCTGTATTGTATTTAGGCTTCTGGGAGCTTGTCAAGTAGTCAGGAATCCTCCTCCTTCCCCTCTCCTGGCTTCCCTAAGCCCCACCCTGCTGAGGCTTGCAGTTGCCACTTTCAGATCCCTCTTACTGAGTGAAGAGCAAACAGGTGTGGCTGTCTGCACTTGGTATATAGTTTCCTGTTTGTTCTTCAGGGGCTGTGCTTGTCACTGACTGGCTCCTTAGTCTTGGGGCTAACTGACATCAAGCCTTTTGTTGTAGCAGTGATCCCTTGACAGGAATCATAAAACCTTTATTCTCTTCCATTAGGAGCAAGTGGCAGTTGGAATTAATTTTCGTTGAGCCCTTTGTGTAAAATAAAAGGATGCGAGTTTACAGCTGGCCTGTGTTGCCCTGCCCTCCCACTCACTCAGCCCACTAACAGCTCTCTGCTTCCCTGCTGAGTTATTTTTACAATCAGTCTGCTCTTTTTGCTTTCTCTGAATTTCCACAAAATACCTCTTATGTATAAACCAAAATGGGAAAGACAGAAGGGTATGTGTGAGTTTAAAATAAACTGAAATTAAAATTACTAGATTTTGCCTTCAAATAAATAAGTGCACTTAGGTTAATGATTAGGCATGATTATCCTTTAAAAATGCCCCTTTCATTTGCCCACTCTAAATTGACCTGGCAAAGGATGGGCCAAGACTCCTTAAAGAAAATTCCCAGCCTGCCACAGTGGGTGAGGTGGCTGGATCCAGAAGTTAACCTACCTCTACCCAGTATGCCCCCTTCTTTCTTATCTCAGACCCCTGCCCTGTTGATCGACTTGCCTGTCAGCATGAGCTAAGGAGGGATGAAGTTCTGGATTCTGGATTGTACTTCATCAAAACCAGTTAGGTCTGTCATAGAAATGCGCCAGCTTCTTGAGCAGAGAGCCTTGCTCCGGGACAGCCTTAGCAAGGGACAGATCCCAGGACCTCCAGCTGCTTTTTCTCTGAGACAGGACTTTTGAAATGATGATGTGTGTTCCCATGATATTGAAAATGTATTCTACCCAGCCAGTGTGGTAAAGAAATGGTTGGATACTCCAGGATTTGGGATTAAGTCTTTGTGACTGAGTATATCTGGTGCATGGTCTTGTTCATGACCAGTAACATTTTACTGAGACTGGCAGAAAGGTGGCATAGCTTTCTGAGCATACACAAGCTGGGAAGCAGCTTTACTGTACAGTGAAAAGAACCCAGGCTGCCTTGGCTGTGAGTTCTGAACCCTGCCACTGTGCTGCAGGTGAGCAAATCACTTCTCTCAGCCTCAGTTAATTCATCTGTAAAGTGGGGTGAGAGCACTCAGTGGCACATAGGTTATTGAGAATTGAATCAACATAATAATATATGAAAGGACTTAGCCCAAATATGCTTAATAAATATTGCTGGGGCAGCCCCAGAGCTGAAGCTGCTGTGCTCACTCTGGGAGGAGCCCCATGCTGGAAGCCTCCTGGGGATTAGGATGAAGCCTTGGGAGCAGCTCCCTAGAGCCCAGTTGCACCTCTATTGTGGATATTAGATGTTTCTGCTTCTCAATGTTCTCTCTTTTTTCCTGCCTGCTTGCCTGCCTTTTGGACTTCTTGCTGTCTAGGGTGGCAGATGAAGCTTTCTACAAACAACCCTTCGCTGACGTGATTGGTTATGTGTATGTTGCAAAACTAATTCCTTTTCTTGTTTTGATTCTTTCTACCTTTTGTTTAGAGTTAATGTTCCTTTTATGTCACAAGTTGCTTTGCTTTTTAAAATATTTCAAATTGGCACTGTGGGGATTGACTGAGTGTTGAT